AGATGCTATTACTTCCTTTTGCACAATTGAGTACAGGTTGGGGATTGCCTTTTGCAAAAAGTAATTTCGGCCGGGTACCTTCCACTGCGGTGTCCCAATAGCCACAAATTTTTTGAACGCCTCAGACTCCACCAGCTTGTATGGTAAAAGCTGGCGGGCTAATAGTTCGGACAAGCCAGCAGTCAGACGCTGGGCAAGGGGGTGGCTTTCTGACATTGTCTTCTTACGCTCAAACATGTCCTTGACAGACACATGACTGTGGGAAGATGAGCGTGAACTGCTCAAGGCGGGAGGCGGAGTGGCGGATGGTTGAGAGGGACAAGGAGGACAGCAGTGGTTGACGTGGCTGAAGATGCTGGACCAGGAGGAGGCTGGCGGCTTAGAGTAGGTGAGCTGCTTGTACTCATGTGTTGATCCCATAGGCGTTTGTGATGTGAGATCATGTGCCTACGCAAAGCAGTTGTACCTAGGTGGGTGTTGGACTTCCAACGACTCAGTTTCTTTTGGCACAGGTTGCAAATGGCATCGCTGTTGTCAGAGGCAGACACACAAAAAATATTCCACACTGCTGAGCTCTGCAATGACGGCATTCTGGTGGTGGACACAGCATGCGTTGATTGGCGTGCTGTCGGGCTGACCCCGGGTGTCGATGCATGCTGTCTGACTGTGCCACTAGCTCGTTGCGACGACCTCCCCCTGCTTCCAACTCGTCTCCTCCTCCTCCCTGTCTCCCCATCTGAACTTTCACCCTGTTCTTCTTCTTGACGAGCGGGCACCCACGTGACATCCATGGACGCATCGTCATCATCAACCGCTTCGCTTGTATCTGACAACTCAGCAAAGGAAGCAGCAGCGGGTACAACATCATCATCATCCTCACACCGTACGTCCATGTGTGTAATGCTGCCTGCCTGAGACATATCCCTATTATCTACATCCTCTGGCAATAATGGTTGCGCATCACTCATTTCTTCAAACGGATGTGTGAATAACTCCTCTGACATACCAACCGAAGCGGCTGTGGTGCTAGTTTTGGTGGTGGCGGCAGGCGGGTGAGTGGTATCTTGAGAGGTGCCTGAAGCTAAGCTGGAGGAGGATGGTGCGTCAAGGTTCTGAGTGGAGGCTGTAGAAGATTGGGTGTCCTGTGTTAGCCAGTCAACTATGTCCTCAAACTTTTCAAGTTCAGGGTACGTGGCCTCTGAAAACTGGGCATTATTCTAGGGCCAAAGGGAATCACAGCACCACGACCACGATGGCCCCTGCGGGGTGGCCTGCCTCTGCCTGTCATTTTTGTTGGGATTAGTGGTACTATGCGTGCAAGCTACTGTGAGACCAGATATGAGTGTCAATGTGCACTGGCACAGTTGTGCAGAGCACAGGCTGTAGGCCTGACACCCGCTTGAAGATAACTAACTGCTATTCAATCTATAACAGTGAAAAAAGTTTTTTGTTTTTAAATGCAAGCTATTGTGACACCAGTGAGTGAGTGGTGGCACTGGGCACAGTATCCACTGTGAGCCTGACACACCAGCTTTAAGGACACTGACTGCTATTCAATCTATAACAGTGAAAAAAGTTTTTTGTTTTTAAATCCAAGCTTTGTGTCACCAGATCTAAGTGGTGGCAATGGTCACCATATCCACTGTTAGCGTAACACACCCGCTTTAAGGACACTGACTGCTATTCAATCTATAACAGTGAAAAAAGATTATTATTTTTTTAAATCCAAACTATTGTGACACCAGATCTAATTAGTGGCACTTGTCAGCGTATCCACTGTTGGCGTAACACACCCGCTTTAAGGACACTGACTGCTATTCAATCTATAACAGTGAAAAAAGTGTTTTGTTTTTTTAAATCCAGCTTTGTGTCACCAGATCTAATTGGTGGCACTGGTCAGCGTATCCACTGTTAGCGTAACACACCCGCTTTAAGGACACTGACTGCTATTCAATCTATAACAGTGAAAAAAGTGGTTGGTTTTTTTTAAATACAAGCTTTGTGTCACCAGATCAAAGTGGTGGCAATGGTCACCGTATCCACTGTTAGCGTAACACACCCGCTTTAAGGACACTGACTGCTATTCAATCTATAACAGTGAAAAAAGATTATTTTTTTTTTAAATCCAAACTATTGTGACACCAGATCTAATTAGTGGCACTGGTCAGCGTATCCACTGTTAGCGTAACACACACCCGCTTTAAGGACACTGACTGCTATTCAATCTATAACAGTGAAAACAGTGTTTTTTGTTTTTAAATCCAAGCTTTGTGTCACCAGATCTAAGTGGTAGCAATGGTCACCGTATCCACTGTTAGCGTAACACACCCGCTTTAAGGACACTGACTGCTATTCAATATATAACAGTGAAAAAAGTGGTTGGTTTTTTTTAAATACAAGCTTTGTGTCACCAGATCTAAGTGGTGGCAATGGTCACCGTATCCACTGTTAGCGTAACACACCCGCTTTAAGGACACTGACTGCTATTCAATATATGACAGTGAAAAAAGTGGTTGTTTTTTTTTAAATCCAAGCTTTGTGTCACCAGATCTAAGTGGTGGCAATGGTCACCGTATCCACTGTTAGCGTAACACACCAGCTTTAAGGACACTGACTGCTATTCAATCTATAACAGTGAAAAAAGTTTTTTGTTTTTAAATCCAAGCTATTGTGACACCAGATGTAAGTAGTGGCACTGACTAGGGAAATAGGCACAGTATGCACTGTGAGCCTGACACAGAAGCTGGCAGCAGTGGCAGACAACTAAGTGCAATTACATTACATAGAAAAATAAATAAAAAAAAGCATACCTTAACCCTAACCTAGCTATGCTTTCCCCTATCTAATGAACAGCAGCTACACTTTCCCTCCTCTTACTAAAGAATGCAGCTTGAGAATGAATCTAAAATGGATGCCTTCCAGGAGGTGGGAGGGTCTGCTAGGGAGGGTGTGCTGCTAATTGGCTGGAATGTGTCTGCTGACTGTGAGGTACAGGGTCAAAGTTTACTCAATGATGACGAATAGGGGGCGGGTCGAACCGTGCATATGTTAGCCCGCCGTGGCGAACGCGAACATGCTATGTTCGCCGGCGAACCGCTCGGTACATCACTACTTGCTATTTGAATTGTTGTATGCCTTATTGAATTGTCAGTGAACATGGTGTTGCAAAATGCAAGTGCACTGGAGATCTGCCGAGTGCCTTATAGGTGGCAGTGTAGTTGATACTGATTGGTATGTGAAATGTTGCTTGTCTGTTGACCTATAGGGGTCAGTGTTTTGGTGTTTGTAAAACCCCATGAAAAACCACATGAAAATTTTCAATGTACTTGACAGAATTGTAGGTGGCAGTGTTGATAGAACCACTGTTAGTCTTGATGTGAAATGTAAATTATTGTGAATTAAACCTGAAGTTGAGCCAGTGTTGGAGTTTAATTTATGGTTTATGGTTATGTTTAAAACAATCTTATGTGTAGGGGTCAGAAATTCTGATTGTATGGTAAAATACCCTTTAACCCCTGAAGGATACATGACATGTGTGACATTTCATGATTCCCTTTTATTCCAGAGTTTGGTCCTTAAGAGGTTAAGTCAAATGCAAGGTTAACATGAGATTTTGAGAGTGACCTGTAGGGGTCAGTGTGGTTTATGTGAAACATTGTTCGTGAGCTATGCCCCAGCATTATAGTTGTATGACAGGAAAACAAACAGTGCCCGTTTGACAATATACAATAAGTGAACATAATATGTTAATAACAGTCATTGTAACAAACCAAAGTTCTGTTTGTGGGTTGTAAACGCACGAAACGTGTGTGTAGTACAATAGTAAATGCATGAACTAGTTCCCGTTTGGTAGAAAATTGCACGAACCGTGAGCCTGGTATATCAGGGAAACGAAACGAGCAGTGAGATTCAAAATGCACGCACAGAATTGCCTAGTATGTTTAGGCAATTGAAACAGAATGTGTTCCCGTTTGGGAGTATGCTAATGCTGGAAATGAGCCAGTGACAGATATAAACAAGTGACTTTAAACGAATGATATGCATGAGCATGCAATGGTTTTAGGACAGATTTAGACAAAATGCAGCCGTAAAGTGAGGACCTGAACCGTGCATGGTGCCGTGGGACTGATGCCTGGCATAACGGGTAGGTCGACTTACGGTTTGTTAGTCACTTGGACACCATACACGGCGATAGATTGAAGAAAGATGGTGGTAGGCCGGAAAAGCCTGTGGCTGGATTCCTGACAAACCTCATGGAGTAATCAGGTAAAATGGCGTCTGGATGACCCGGAAGTGGAAATCATTCTGATGCTGACCTCAAGCGATAGGAGTCAGGTAAGGGGTGTCCCTTATATAGGGGAGTGAATTAATTTAAGCCCCTCCCACAAATACAGGCCAAACAGCCTTAAACATATATACATATATATATATATATATATATATATATATATATATTTATTCATATTGTGTGCTTTAATTCCCTTCATTATAAAAATTGTTTAAACACTTAATTTGCCTTGCAAAATTACTTTTCGTCAATTACTTTTTAATGTCAGCAAATATGGTTGAGAACAATATGCTCATCACCCACACAGAGACACATATGTGATATAATTTATCTTGATTCCAAGGCTCAAGCTTAAAGGTGTCATATAATGATATCCTATATTAAAATTGGCTAACTTGGACTCAGGAAATGCTTGATGCTTAAGCAACACTTAAGACCATATATGTCTAAGTTCCAGGAGCAGAGAGCCCCCACCTAAGATGTCTCTGCTCTAATCATTTTGTTCTCTCTTACCTTGAAACTTATTTGTTATGTGTACATGACGCTCATCCCTATGTCTTATCTGTACTCTCTTCCTATTACTGTTCTAAGAGTATTTGCACGTAAGCACTTACTTTTTAATGTATAAAACCCAGCTGATGAATAAAACGCCAGAGGCTTATTTTGAATACCAACAGGTGTCTGGTGTCTAATTCTCACTTCTCCAAGTGCACTCGTAACAACAATTTGGGCTAACTCTGAATATAACAAAGATCAACATTTCTGATCCACAACAATTTGGTGCCGAAACCAGGGATCTGACGGTCGAGAGACTCGGACACTAGCGTACAGGTGGACGTCCCTCTAACAGTGAAATCAGCTGCAGCAAGGTAAGAAAAACTTTTTTCTACCTTTATCAATTTCGCTCTCAGATCCACGTCCTACTAGTCTGTCTGGGTAAAGAACGACTTAAAAACGTCTGAAGAACTTGTTTTCTGCGGTATTATGGTTATATTCTGGTGGAGGTTGTGTTATGTCTTGTGAAAGGAATCTTGAGATAGTGGAATATAACTGTGGGTTGTAAGTTAATTTTATTGTTTGCCTTGTCATTTGTTTTATAATTGAGTTAGAATCCTCCAAGGGCAGATCTGATCTGTGTATAGAAGACAAAACTGGGAAAATTCCACTGCAGCGGTCCTAAGTGTCAAATACACTGTTTTTGTACAGTTTTCGTGTGTAAGGAAGTAATTAACTAGGGATCGACCGATTATCGGTTTTACCGATATAATCGGCCGATATTCAGTATTTTCGGCAATATCGGTATCGGCCAATTCAGATACCGATATTGCCGATAATACCTCCTAGGACCGCCGGGCTCATTACAAGCCCGGCGGTCCTGGGGGGGCGGAGAGCAAGCGCTTACTCACCTCCCAGCAGCTCCTCCAGCTCCCCAGTGCAACTCTCGCGAGACCCGCGGCCGTCAGAGCGTTGCCATGAATCACCATGGCAACGCTCCGCGCGACACGCTGGCCGCGAGAGTTGCACTGGGGAGCTGGAGGAGCTGCTGGGAGGTGAGTAAGCGCTTGCTCCTCTCCCCCCAAAGCTCAGCCAATACCACTGGACCACCAGGGACTGTCATATCCCCCCTCCCTGGCCAGGCAACAAGCAGGGAGGGGGGACAAAAAAATAATAATTAAATATATATATAAAAATAATTTAATAAAAAATTCCCCCTCACACACTCCATTATATACACAGACACTACACAAACACACTGTGTATATAATGCAGTGTGTGTTTGTATAGTGTGTGTTTGTATACAATGCACACAAATACACTGCATTATATACACACACTATACAAACACACACACAAACTGCATTATATACATACACACAAACTGCATTATATACACACACTATACAAACACACAC